TAACCACCTAAGACAAGGTATGCTCTCATGCTAGCATGTCTTAGCGATAGCATGTCTTAGCGATCCCTACAAGTATGACTTGCCTAAAGTCTGTGTGGTTACTTCCTTGGATAACACATGCCTTTCCGAGCTAAATCTTTTGCGTGTTAGGAGCTCCAAAAGTTCTTAAATTTCTCTAGTATATCCTAGTACAAGTCAAAATAGTGTTACTATCAACATATGAGCAAGAAACAATTGATATACACTTCCACCCATAACTAATCATGGCTTTGCTCTGATACCGTGTTAGGAACCACGGACCCTCCACAATGGTATGCCATTGTCCACTTTGAGCATAAGCTCTCATGGTTTTGTTTTTTATTCTCTCTAAAATGCCTCGTACCAATGAAGATGTTATTCCTTACTTATATACCCATGATCATTCCCTAAATTAGCCAATGTGGGACTCCCTCCCAATAGTCCTCAACAGCTCTATGGTCATATCAGATTGCGTTCAAGTCACCCAGTACGTGGACATATAGGTACTCGAAAAAGTCTTTCATCCCCCCTTAAGCTAGAATCCGAAATGGATATTAAAGAAGTTGAATCTTAATTTGGTCGCAACAAGACAACTTTAGCTTAATGAATTGGAAGAACGTAGGCTAGGTGAGTATTACAATACACAAATATACAACGAACACATAAAACAATAGCACGATGGGAGAATTAGTACGAAAAATCTCAACGAACGTCAATTAATATTACTTTTTATTTGATATGGGAAGTAAATTACAGCAAAAGTTGTGGTGGGATTTAGTCTAAGAACTACCCGGTTCCCATGCGTGCAAGAACTCGAATTTGTTTAGAGGAATATTAAGCAATGAAAAACCCTTACTATCAGCAAACCAAACACATCTTTCATTATTGCATCGATCAGAAAACCATTTTCCGTTTTCTGGCCAGAAAACCTCAAATGAAGCATGCCCTAATTTGCTCTTAAAGTTGCACCAAAACAACGTCGTTTGGAAGAAATTTTCCCTGAATTCCCATTTGTACTGGGTTCCTGGAGTGACGGTGTGGACACCTAAATTTATAATGTAGATAAAAGTGAAGACATATATGGTTCACAATTTCAAGTAATTAAGAAGATACATAAAGTTAATGACCTAAATCGTTGTCTTTGGACTTGCAATGAACCTCAAGAGGTGGGTTTCTATAATGGTTCCAAATAATTACTTCCCACCTCGTCAATGGAAGGTGATACTTTGAGTCTGAAAAAAAAAAAAACATAAATGACGTATTAATATATCAATACCCGTTATTTCGGTCCATGTTCCGTTATCCAATTTCTTTGGGTTCTCTATCATGTGAACTTTGACTCGTGTTCTTAGTTTATTAAAAATAAACTGCATTAAAAAAGTAAAGAGGCTTACCACAGGTACATCGTTCGAGTTTGTGGGCGAACACCAAAACGAAAACAAAAACGACAAAAGACATGAGAGTTTGCATGATCTTCTTCAACCGTGTTGATGCTCGTTTTCAAGTATATTTATATTGTTATGTTCTCTTGAAAATGAAAGGTTGAAGTATTTAATGAAAATAAAAAGACACTCTTTGTATATAAATTCAAACGTTTAGTGTTAAATTTAGTAAAATAAAAACAAATTATGTAACAACAACGTAGCAATGCGTTAATTATTAGCGTTTGGAACTATCATTATTAGCTGCAAGGATTGAATGGTTTTTTTTATTTTTATTTTTATCCTTTTTGCCCACTTACAAACGTCTTTTGGTTACCATGTTAAGAATGAGAAATAGAAGTGGGATCGTATCTACTTACGTAGTGCCTTGTCTCCTCTTAAGGCGAGTTTACGTCTACATACAGTAGTAGTTCCTCATGTTACCCAATCATGTAGTCCCTCGTCCCCTCTCACGGCGGGTTTACGAGTTGTAACCAGTTCTACATATAGTGGTAATTCCTCACATCGCTTCTCATGTAGTCACGTGTCTCCTCTCAAGGCAGGATTAAGGCCTAGACCCGATTCTACACATAGTAGAAGTTTTGGCCTTGACAACTACACTTGTAGTCAAAGTCGAGGCATCAGCCTTGACTCGTTTCTACACTCAATAGGAGTCCTTACCTTGAGCTAACTATCCATGGAGTCCCTAGTCTTTCTACAAGACTAGTTTAATAGAATCGCGACGTCAACCTTGTCCTAATCCTTCACTCAAGTGGGTTGAGTGTTATATTAAGCTTCCTTAATCATATTTAGATGTCGTTGTAATTTACTAGGTTCTTAGTTGCGTTTAGACGGTTTAAATCTTATCTCTCATTTTCAAGATGTTTGGGGTTAGCTCCTCGAGCTAAACCACTCTCTAGGTACACATGAGTCTAAGCTTCTAATCACTCATGATCCTACATACTAACCTTGGTCAACAAGTAAATCGCACTAGTTGTAGCGCACTAATGTTAACTAATTCATCTCATGCATGCTTTGCTAGGGAGATATTTCTATTGATCAACTAAGCTTCTAACCCGTAATTTAAACTTCACCTTAGTCATATCTAGGTGCTGAGAAGTTCTATTGGGTTCCTAAGGCGACTAGGTGGTTTAATGTGGACTTCTTGCTATAGGTTGCTCTATTTTGACTCCTCGGGTCTTTTTCCTTCGACCGTCGCTCATGATCCTAAGTCGCTCAATCCACTGGAGGCGTTGTGACCTATATTATTGTCTAACCATCCTAAGTCGCTCAATCCACTGGAGGCGTTGTGACCTATATTATTGTCTAACCAACCTAACTCTAATGCTCTGTCTATATGCAAAAAAGCACGCTCAAAAGGGAGAACATACAGTCAGCACCTAGAGCTAACATGTAGTGTATCATGCACCCACACGAGCAAACAATCTCAATAGGGAGATAACATTTATCAATCACCCGGAGAACAAACCACAATAGCCATCCTTCTTTCTAACACAACGGTAAGCATATAAAAAATTATTCATCACAAATGGACAGAAAGATAATTTTATCATACCATGCATACAATACATACTCATCTAAAAACGACGTTCTAAAGTCCTTAACATGCATTTTCTAACCACTTATGGTAAGGAATGCTCGTATGCTAGTATGTCTTAGCGAATCCTACAAGTATTACTTACCTAAAGTTCATGTGGTTACTTACTTGGAGGACGTGTGCCTTCCCAAGCTACCTTTTTTTCGTGTTGGGAGCTTCAAAATTCTTCAAATCTCTTTGGTCGGTTCTAACTCGATCAAAGTTAGGTTTAATATCAAAATTGAGATGAAAACAGACAAACGGAGGTCGAAAAATACCTCTCACGTGCTGTCAACTACACATTCAACTCCTTTGTCAAAATTTTCTTAACTTTCTCTATGCAACTCTAATTAACTTAGTTTCTTCACAAAAGTCGTAGAATTTTAATATAAATTTATTAAGGTGTTTTTCTCATAATTAAAGAGTCTAGTGGGTTGATGTCCACTTCTCTCGTGGTAGAACCACTTAATTGGGCTATTGTTTTTATTATTTTTAGAGCGGACTAATTTTATGCTCTCTAAAGTTGTTAGCTTGTAAGACAAGCCAACCAAATTGATCCGTTTGTTAATCCAATTGATTTAAAAGTTTTAGTCTGTGTGATCACGACAAAACCTACGAAAATTTTATTCCAAATTTTTTTTTTGTCCTCACAATCCAAAAAATTAAAGAGTAAGAGTAGAGTACATTTATTAGGGATGGATGTAGAACCATAAAGCTGAACAAAAACCTTCCTCGAATAAATGAAATAGTGATTATTCAATAGTCGAGTGTAATGACCTATTTCGTTAAAATCTCAAGCCACAATTCACGACTCGAAATAAAAACTGACTCACTAGACTCTTTAATTTGTTGAACGTAATTTTTTTTTGTGGGAAATACTTGTACTCTTTGTTAAAATGACACTCTTTATTCAAGATCGAGAAGAGATTATAAGACACTCTATGACAACTACTGTACTCTATGCTTCCTATTTCTTGTGATTGTGAGGAAGAGGTGAAAGGGTATTTACAGCATACGCCAGAGACAATTTATTCCTAAAATTTATGATACGTCTCTTAAAAATATCTAAATCTTTTTACAAACATCTGGATTTCTCTATTCCTAAAATAGATCATTTTTTTCTAAAATAAATGTAGGCTCATACAATTATTGAGTTTGACCTTATTTTGACACTCTGGTCGTTCACTCCACCCTATTGAGCTGACAACAAAAGCTCTCATATTTGTTAGTATTCAACCCTTTTGTAAACAAGTCTATCACTCATCTGTCTTGATCTACTACATCTCGATTTCTTCTTGTAGGACTTTCTCTCTAATGAAATAGTAGTGTACCTCCACATGCCTTGTTTTAGAATGAAACACCGAATTTTCTGTAAGGCGAATCGCAGATTGGTCGTCGCAATGAAGTGATATTAGATATAGTCAATTTTATGGTGCAAATCTTCCGTCAATAGTTTCAACCGTACTTTTCGCTCCAACCACTACTCTATACTCTGCTTCTATAGTTGACAATGATATGGTTGTCTTTTGCTACACCAAGAAATTGTTCTCAAACCAAACTTGAACACGTACCCGTGGTTGATATTCGAGTATTATGGTCTCCTACACATTCAGCATCACAGTATCCAAGTAGCTTGCAGTCCATACAGAAGACCATTGTCGATTATACCTTTAACATATCTCAAGATTCATCTAGCTGCATCCAAATGAGACTTCTTTAGACTTTGCATGTATCGACTCATGACTCCAACTGCATAAGAAATATCCGGCCGAGTTAAGACACTTTCTTGTCTCGATCGCATCAAGGGTCAAATGGGTAACACTCATGCATGTACCGACTCATGACTCCAACTCGATCCTCACGTGGTCAGATGAGTAACACTTGACGGTTAATCATGTCTATGTCTAATTGGGCCTGGATAAAAAAAAAAATAACTATGGCATAGAAAAGTGTTTAGATGATTACGCCTATCACGCATTCATAGCGTATTATGTGTTGGAAAATTAAACGAGATGGCCTCACCAATTATTACACTTCAATTTCCTTTCCATTCCAACACTGTAACCGACGTTTTCTTTTATCCTCCATAGCTTGCTGCTCATCAATGGCGTAAAACTGTAATTTCTGCTATTCCTTCACACCCTTCATGCTGATGATGCTCTCCTAGAAAGCCCTCTGTGTTGAAGATGCCGTTGCTTTGACTCCAGCAAGACGCGTCCACAGACATCCCAAAACATGGAGAAGAAACTGTTCAGAACCACTTGCTCCACCGAGCTCTGGTTCGCCATTTTCATTTCCTTCGCCATAACATGGATTTTCCTCTGTTTTGATTACTCCACTTTCCATTCCTCCAACAATGGCGTCCTCGCTTCCTCCTTAAACCCTAATAGACTACTCGTCAAACACTCTGCTGCTGCTCGGAGCGTCGACTTGGAATCTGACACCGCCGATCCTTGCTCTGGTCGCTACTTGTTCATCCAGGACATTCCGAGTCGTTTCAATTCTGATTTGATTAGAAATTGCCAATCTCTTACCAGAGGAACCGACAAATCCAATATGTGTCCGTATTTGGTGAACTTTGGCCTAGGGCCTGAAATTGAAGATTCTCAAGGGGTTTTCTCCAATAATAGTTGGTTCAAGACGAATCAATTTCTGTTGGAGGTCATTTTCCACAACAAGATGAAACAGTACAAGTGCTTGACGAACGATTCGGCTATGGCGGCCGCCGTTTATGTACCGTTCTACGCTGGTCTCGACATCAGCCATTATCTTTGGAATCCGAGCATCTCTGTTAGGGATTCTTCAGCTAGAGATTTTTTGAGTGTGATTTCTGAAAAACCTGAGTGGAAGAGGATGTTTGGGAGGGATCATTTCTTCATTGCCGGAAGAATTTCTTGGGATTTCAGAAGAAAAACGGATGATGTTTCTGATTGGGGAAGTAAACTCAGATTCTTGCCTGAGTCTCACAATATGACGATGCTCTCTGTTGAAGCAAGTTCGTGGAAGAACGATTTTGCGATTCCGTATCCGACGTATTTTCATCCATTGAAACTGAGTGAAGTTGTTGAATGGCAGAGTCTCATGAGGACCAAACGGCGCCGTCATTTGTTCACCTTCGCCGGCGCTCCACGGCCGGAACTCAGAGACTCCATTCGCGGTATGGTAATCGAACAATGTCGAGGTTCTTCCCTCTGTAAATTCATAGATTGTAGTTCCGATGGGGTTAATTGTGATGATCCTGTTACCACCATGAAAGAGTTTCAGAGCTCGATCTTCTGCTTGCAACCTGTCGGAGATTCATACACCAGAAGATCAACATTCGATTCGATCTTAGCTGGGTGTATTCCTGTTTTCTTTCATCCAGGTTCTGCATATTCCCAATATTTGTGGCATTTTCCTGAGAACAAAACAGCTTATTCTGTGTATATACCTGTGAGGGATGTGAAAAATTGGAACGAGAGCATTGAGGGGATATTGAATGGGATTCCCAAGGACAGGGAATCCGCCATGAGAGAGGAGGTTATAAGAACTATTCCAAGAATTGTTTATGCAGATCCCAGATCGAAATTTAGGGATTTTGAAGATGCATTTGATTTAGCTGTTAAAGGGATTCTTGAAAGAGTTGAAGATGTTAGAAGGAAGATCAGGGATGGGAAAGATCCCAGTGAAGGATTTGATGATCCTGATCATTTTAAGTACACATTTTCCAGAAAAATCTGATAAAAAATGTTGCCGATTTGGATGAAGAACAATGGAAATCAGGGTTGTTGCCGGATAATATGATTCACCAAGTAAGAATTCTCATACATCCTCATCCTATTGTTCAAGTTTTTGCTCCTATTTTCTGTTCTTCATTTTCTTTTTCAATGTTTCATAGATTGCTGCTGCATTTGTTAATGAGTATTGGAAGAATTACAGTTTTTGTTTATTAGGATGTTTTTGTGTCATCACGTATGTATAAAAGATGCATTACATACACCTCTAAATGAATTATATATCATATTTATTCTTTCCTCTATCTCTTTTTAGCTTCTATCATAGTTTAGCTTTACAAAATATTGCGTATGTTTATTATTATTACTTGTGAATATATTATTGAGCTTTTATTTAATGTGAGTTTACCTACCTCCTTTATTAGAGACACGTGATAGTCATGTTATTCCCGTATAGCATCGTCATTTTACTTCTCATTTATAAGAGTGAAAACTATCTTCACCGCCCAACACCGAGATCTTTTAAGACGTTTTGTTCTTAGTTATAGTCTAAAAATTTTATTATATTCAGATGTGGTCTCGATCCATTTATGTACCTCCCAATTAGGTCGTGGTGTGCATAAAATAGAGAATTGTTAAATCAAAGCGGGGGACAAAGTGGACCACGAAGATAACGTAGGATGCTAATTTGATTAGAATACTTCATTATATATTGCTTTAGTAAAGAGCTGAATTTAAGGGTTTGAGGGTGTAAGTGGTCACAAAAAAGCAGAAACAGAAAGTTACAAAAAGAGAGCATGAAATGGTTCTTGTTTGAATAGCCTAATCATTTGCATGCTTTTTCAACAAGATTTCAATGCTGCCTTTTGCTTTTTTGCTTCTATTGTTTTGCATGCCATCTTCATGATTTATTTCCATTCATATCAATGGATTATTTTATTCCCTAAATTACTAAAGTTAATTTTGGTAGTTCCAAAAATATTATAAAAACATTAATTAAAATATTATAAAATATTATTATTGATTAGGTTGGATGGTAAACTATTTGTTTAAAAAATACTTAGTTTAAATTTTTTTAAAATTACCCTTAAATTTTAAAAAAATATTATTGGATTTTCAAAATTTTTAACGCCCTTAAGCTTTTTTTAAATATCAAAACTACCCTTTTAAACTTTTTATAAAAAGTTCAAAATTGGTCTTACCGTTAGATATGGATGGAATCGTTAGTATCACGTTTCAAAAAGTACCATAATATTCTAAAATTTTTAGAAAAGAAATTTTAAAAGTTTTTACTATTAGCATCCTTCAAATTGAAGAGGGAAAAGGGGCGTGACATATAAAGCATAGATAGACAATTTTCATCCACGTGTTAACGGTAAGTGAGAATAATTGTAGTGTGAAGGGCTAGGAGTTGTAAGGGGTATGGCACTTGCAGAACTTCCTAGAAATAATGGAGCAAGGGTAAAGAGCTAAGGTAGCCGTCTACCATGGTTGCTAGAACTTGAAGAAAACCATAAATACGTAGGTATATAATAGACTGATTTGGTTCGAATTGACCTGAATCTTTGTCTAATAAACTCGAAACTTGAATCAAACTGATTTAGTTCTAAAAAAAAAATCTAACCCAATTTTTTTATTCAAGTTGGTGGGTCGTTTTTCGAATTCAATCTACACCCCCTATTTTTTTACAAACATAGGTGGCATTAAATGTAACTTAAAAGATTGAGATGCCATTAAATATGGATTGAGGTTGTTGAGTTTCCTAAAATTTATTTGGTTTGGTCACTATTAATTTATTTAGTATATTAATATTGAGAAAAAAATGTGAGATAAACTAATTAAAACGCAATAAATCTATCCTTATTTTGAGAGGTTGAAATAAAAAAAGAAATAAGTTATTGAAGTGTTGCCGACACTCTGATGGGACCGTCGTTATAAATGCGGATCGGCGCCTTACAGCCTTTGCAGACAACACGATGCCCAACATCTTTGTTTCTGATTCTTGCACCTCCCCAACTTTGTGTGGGACCTCTCTTCCTACTTTGTAACAATATACTCAAATTGAAGCTTTTTCGTAACTCAATTTCATCTGATCTAATTAAATTTTATAGTGAAAATGTATCGTGAAAATCTTTGAATACCCAATTCCTCAAGTCCATGAAGGTTGTCCGGGCATTAATCGGGCCAAAACATTACAGTAAAAATCTAGCCGAAGAAAACATGAAAGCATGAACATAACATCCTATTAAGAAAAATATGACACATGACATCTCATCTAGATGAGAAAAACATAAAATCATGAGATATGGATTGGAATAGCACCTACCAAGGTCACGGTAACTTTAAGGCATGGCTTAACTAAGTTCATGCCTTAGGATAGTATCTTGGTACTTGCGTTCATGGACTAATCCTAGAATATCATATAAAGGCTTGTATCACATGTAGCATATTATAAAGTTATTTATATATATAGCTTGTGCTAAATGTTTGTCCAAGTCCAGAGACTAATTAACCACGTTATATTGCCTTACCACATTATATTGCCTTGAATAAGTTCTCTGTTTCCTTCTTGTAATAAGCAGTAACGTTGTGTCTTCGAACTTTCATTGTAGGGCTCAGTAACCCATTATCCATCTACAATTCAAAGTGTTCAAAAGTAAATTAAAAGATTTGCAAATTGGAAGTATCTTTTTCACGAATTTCATACCGTGAATGGTTCATTGACAATGAGGATTGGTCTAATTTGAAATGAACACTCTGAAGTCCTGCATGAAACCAACATATTATATTGCTATCAACCACCCTTCCTTCTTCACAAAAGACTAAGAACGAACAGTCAATGGCTAATGATGAACATAGGAACATCACAAAAGTCTAACCATTTTCTGAGTTCACTATAAATCAGGTTTGTCAAGGTTTCATTGCTAAGATAGGATGTAGCAGACAACAGTTGTCCCTTGTTGGGAACTATAATCACACCAATGGAACAGAAACCAAGTAGTCTGGTTGATAATCACGAAGATCATCCTGACAACTCAAATACAGAGGAGTTTAAAAAAAATTCTAATTTCCCAGATTTGGTGTAATTGAAATACCTTTAACTTTCTTGTTGTTGTGTACGTTTGCTCCACTCCAAGTGTAAATATGAAATATTCACAAGCCCGTTCGTACGCATGCCAAGGTGAAAGCATGCTTAGAAATTTATCCCCAACTTTAGCAGGTATAACATCCCATAAATTCTTTATCTGGAAAATGTTTGACATACCAAGCAGCCTTAGAACACATCATACTTTGGTGAAATAAAGAGGAGTAGTGAAACAAACCTGGTGCAATAAATTTCTGTGGGTAAGCATGACAGCTTTAGGGTATCCAGTTGTGCTACTTGTATAGATAAGAGTAGCAATATCATCCAAGTTGATAGCTTCATATGTATATAACTTACTATGAAGCATAAGTTTACGACTCTCTCATCCCATATCCATGATGTCCAATACCGTCCAGTCCCTCAGCTGCCAGGCTTGAGTTTTCGCCCCATAGAAGAATGATACATCTCGTGGATGCCTTCGAACGGAATGTTTCAATGATTCGATTGAACAATTCAGGGTTGTCTACAACTAATGCTACACAGTGAAAGTTTAAATTTAAAACCAAAACATAGTTTATGTTAAAACCTATGAAGCAATTTAAGAAACCTTTCAATTGTATATTTGCAACAACTCCTCACTTGATGATCTTGAACCTCTAACAACATTAATTGCTCCCATACTCATAATACCTGAACCCAAACTATTAAAATATAACAAAATGAACTACAATATTTTATACAATCAACGCATACCTTGATCGGCAACAAGTCATCGGCATGAATTATCAGAAAAGAGTGCAATCTTTTCATCTGGCTTTATTCCAATGGCCCTAAGACCTTCACAGAAATTCAAGATAATTTGTTCTAGCTGCAAATTTAAATTTATGAAGAAAAAAAAGAAAAGAAAAGTAAGTAATATAAAAAACAAGATGGTGTTTCGTTGCTAAAATGAAGCAAAAACATAATCACTGACTATGCTGAAGAAGCAAACGAGGAATACTAACAAGATTATGGTATGGATACCTGTTTATAAGTAATCTTGGAAGCATGATTATGATATGGATCCAGTAATGCTACCCGATCGCCATACCTCTCCGCTGAAAACCTCCAAATATCAGGAACTAATTCCTTCCACCAAACAACTTTCTAGCATTGGACAATACCTCCTTCCTCTCTGTACATTATAATTCATTCATTTTCTCTCTAAAACATAACATAAGGACATTCAAAACGGATTTCAAAAATTACCTTCGATTGGCAAGAGATTCGAAAATCAGGGCTACTTTGGAGCGAATGACGAGAAATGGTAGAAATCCACAAGTGCTGATTGCAAGTAAAAGGAATCGCCGCGCCCATCATCAACATTCAAATGCCACAGAGCATAAGGATATTGAAGTAAAACAGAGGTATATCCAAGAACAACTGGATTCCGAAAAAATGGACGTGAACAAAATTTTTACTCCTAACCTAAATGGAACCGCCACTCTTATTATTTACTTGTTAAATTTATTAAGATATTAAAATACTTTCATTTTTGTTTGTAATTTTATTTTAATCAATTAATTAATTCATTGATTTTTACAAAAAATAAATAAATAAATCCATATAAGTAATTATTTAATTAGAATAAATCAATAACAATTTATTTAAATATATGTTTGATTCATTTTTACCTTACTAAAATTATTTATTAATTAGCTTATTAATTAATTGGTTGGTTAGAATTAGTTATTACTACAGGTTAGATTTTTTTTTCATAATTGTAACAATCATTTTATAATCAATTAATTATTTTTGGGCCTATTTGTTCCTTCATTAATAATATACCATAATTTAAAACTATAAAGGAATGATTCAAATTAATTTTATAATTAATAACTATAAATTATAATTAAACAAAATTAATGAAATACTTATTATGATAATTGTTTTATACATGTTAATAAGTTTTTTTTAAAAAATAATTTACTAATTAAATTTGTATAATTGATTCTACCATTTGATTATTATTATATTAAAGTATTTTCAAAGTTTATATAATTTTATTAAAATCATTTATTTGAAGATAATTTTAAGAGCAGGCTAAAAGATTTTAAATTGACATAATATTTATATTATTTTTTTTTTATAAATAAAAGTTAAATCTGGAATAAATTATTTAAAATTATTTAATATAACAATAATTAATTATCTAAAATTAAGTAATTTAATATAATTGTTGCGAGTAGAACATAAAAAAATATTATTTATTAATAGGAAATTTTAATAGTCTTCTACAATAATATTTTTTTTGTAATGCAAAATTCAATTATTTGATTCCCAATTTTTGAAAATGGATTGATTTTTAATTAATTATTAAGAAGGGATTTGAAGGGGAAAAAAATGTTCAAATAAGAGGAAGATTTTATAAAAATAAAAATAATAAAAATATATTTTTTTAAAATAGGGATTCGGATGAAGTGGTCCCATAATGAGTGCTAGCTTGCTCGTCATCCATAGGATGTAACTAACGAACCCATCCCACAAGCCATGGAGTCATCCAAGGTCGAGGGCGCTACCCTTGTACGTACCAATTTTGCTGACTATCTACATCATCAACGCGCTCCTATAGGTCAAATCCTCCGTGTAGAGTAGCTGAGCTAAACTCTCTCACTCAGGTCACACAAATCCTAATCGACCTCATTTTTAGCTCAACAATACCAAATCAAATTAGAAAGAGTAGACACATTGAATCACCTAGAGCTAGTGTACAATCAATCAACGAAGCAGACATATGCATGCTCAACGGGGAGATAACATCCAGCAAGCACCCAAACGCACACACACGAAACTCCATCCTCCAATCATGCATGTCAACGCAGAGGTGTGAACGCATTCTTCTAGTACCCGTTTGACGCATATCGGTTTCTAGTTGGGACGCACTTTTGCCGCCGATGGCTAATGCATGTCCAAATCGGACATTTTAAATATCACATCCTCAATTAAACATGGACCACAAGGAATTTTGTTTTCCTGAAAAATATAGTAATCCGCAACGCATCCCGGAGGCACCAAAGTCTAACATTTCAACTGAATCAATAAACAAAGTCTTAGTTTATCTCTAATCTCGGCGGGATCTCCGGTCACGATGGTCGGTCAGAGATGTGTTTCTTAAGTCAGTCATTGTCGGAACAGTCCTCCACACATTTCTCTCTCAAAACAGGGACATGTTCTTCAATTTCCAAACCCTTGAAGACGCGTAATCCATTATCAATCAAAACCAGCCAACAATATTTCAAAGATTCGGCAAAGAACCACATGACCATCCAAAATAAATCCTTAAAAAAAACACAACATTCCCTCTCTTTCTTCCAGCTTTGTTCCAACTCATTTTACACTTTGCTGGCTCTGAGCTCAAAGAATTCCAGGCTTTTCTGTCACTTTTCACAGCCTGGAAGAATCAATGCTTCAAATTCTAGCCCAACTAATCCAAGCTGTGTTATCAACCAAATACCAACTCGCATCATCGACCCTTTCGACCATTCTTCGACCTCAAGAAAAGAACATGTCAATTACGGTTAAGTTACGGATATGAAAGACCTTTTATCATTCGAATAAATGGAATGGAATAAGAAATTCAAATGGTCCATTAATAAAAGAATGAAGCAAATAAAAGAGAGAAATGAAGAGCAGTTGAGAATCCTTTTGGTTTGTTCTTGGTCATCTGGCATCCATGGAGTCAAAGGTGTCTGCAAATCCCGAAGGTTTGGAAGGAATGCTAGAATGGGTCTGTGAGTAAGAAAGGTCATTGAACATGGTTGATGTTCCTTGATTGGCTTGCCATCTCTGAAGAGCTTGAGGAAGGCTCATGTTCATGCCCACATCCATCCCCTCTGTTTCTTCTTCATGATGGCTCGTAGGCCTCCATTGGTCCACCAGAGGGCCAAGGATGTTAACGGCGTGCCCCATGTCCGGTCTTTGGTGAGGCTCACGAGCTGTGCAGTGTCCTGCCAGCTCCAACACCTTGTATATACACTCCATTGTCTCCTCATCAGGGTTCAGCGTTTGATCAATCGCCTTTGGGATGTTCTCTTTGTTGATCAACACTCTACGTAACCATGTCACCAAATGAGATTGCTCGTCCGGCATCGTGTCGTCCAACGCCTTTCGACCGCTGATGATCTCCATCAATACTACTCCAAATGCATACACATCCACTTTCGTCGTCACTCTTCCCGTTGCTGTTCAAAAATAGATCAAGTATTAACAATACGAACATATAACCTCAAATTTAAGACATTGAGTTAGAAGAAAACCTGCATATTCAGGAGCAAGATAGCCGAACGTTCCAGCTAAACGTGTCTCGACGGAGTACTTCCCGTCGGGTGCATTCCTAACCAAACCAAAATCAGCAACCTTAGCTCTCATGTCATGGCCAAGAAGAATATTAGAAGGCTTTAAATCTCTATGAATGAAGCTTTGTTGAGCTAAGCTATGGAGATATTCAACTCCTCTTGCCACATCTAAAGCAATTGTAATTCTTTGTTTCCAAGTAAGTGGCGCATAGCCATTCTCTTCCCAATCAAATAAATGTTGTGTCAATGTCCCTTCCGGCATGAACTCATACACCAACAGCCTCTCATTGCCATTAATGCAATAACCCAACAGACCAACCAAATGTCTATGTCTTACTTTAGTAAGCACACCAATTTCAGCTTGAAACTCATTCATTCCTTTAGTACCCATTGCTCCAGACTCCATTCTTTTCACAGCAATTATGGTACCATCATGCAACTCTCCTTTGTAAACGACTCCGAATCCTCCCCTACCCAACACGTTATCCTCGCTAAAATTGTTCGTTACTTGTCTTAGAAGATGTATCGATATCGCCACGTTCCCGCCGTCGAACGAATGGATGGTGTTGCTGAAATCCTCACTACTCTGGCTTTGCAGCTCACTTGGAACTCCAGCATAACCATTCAAGCCACTCCATGCATCACTCTTGACAATCTCCTTCCCATTCTCAGGATTGTTCACTTTCTCAAACATCTTATGCCTATTGCTTACATAACATTTGAAGACAACAAACAATAAGACAGCAATAAAAACAAGACCAGCGATGACAACACCGACAATCACACCAGCTGAAACAGAGGATCCATTGGAGGATCCAGAAGAAGGGTTATCTATGGTTGTGCCATTGGAATCAATCTTCCCACCATCATGTCCTCCAGGGGTCAAACTTGTTCCAATCAGGGGATTACCCTTCGTGTTCAACTTAACTGATGCAGCAAACTTGGGGATTTGTCCGCTCAAATTGTTGTTCGAAACGTCGAGTGTCTGAAGCTGCGCCAACGTCGTCAAACTCACCGGTATCTCGCCGGTTAAGTTATTGTCATTCAAATACAAATTCTTCAAGCTCGTCAAATTGGCAAATGCAGGAGAGATCATCCCCACAAAATGTTGCTTCCCAATGTTAATTGTAGTAACCTTCCCATCAGTACAAACCACAAATCTCCAATTCTGGCAAGCATCATCTCCTTCCCATGCATCCGCCAGCGAAATAGGGTACCCGAAAGCCCCGGCGACCTCAAGAAGCACAGAAACCTGAGCATTGCATTGCCCAGGTGTTGTCTTACAGAACCTATTCACACTACTAAAACTCGCCTGTACTCTTGAATCAAACACAGGCAACGGCCCTTGAAGCTTATTGTTATCTAAACTAACATTCAACAAGCTAGGAAGGTGCATAAGCGACAGAGGAACAATCCCAGTAAATTGATTATCACGAAGTTGAAGATCAAATAAACCCTCACATTTGGTGAGGTCTGGAATTTGGCCAGTAAATTGGTTCTTATGAAGCCAAACCTGAGTTAACTGAGTCATAGACGACAACAAATCAATAGAACCCGACAACCCCATTACCTGATTGTTCATCCACAAGCTCTTAATCCCAGATCCACCGAGAGATTTGGGCAAAACCCCAGTAAGATTGTTGTAAGAAAGACGAAGCTCCTGCAGAGTAGAAAACGAATCGAAGAAATCGGGCAAGGAGCCAACGATGTTGGCATTTGCAGCGTAAAAACTAACCAAATTAGAGGCCTGAGTCAAATCAGTGGGAATGGACCAAGGGGCAAGATTAAGATTCTGGGATAGGCTCAGAATCTGCAAGCTCGTGAGGCCTTGGAAGGCGGCGGGAGGAACAGAGGAGAAATTGTTGTTGTCGAGATAGAGAGATTGGAGAAAAGAGAGATTGGCGAAGGAAGGAATCGGGCCAGTGAAGGAGTTGCGTTGAAGAGAGAGCGAAGTGAGTTGAGAGAGGGAGTTGAGATCGGAAGGGAGGACGCCGGAGAGGGATTTGGAGGCTAAGTTAATGGAGGTAACTCGGTTGGAGGAGTCGCAGCGGATTTCTTTCCATTCGCAGAACGGGGTGTTGGTGGACCAGCCGGATGGGGTCGGAGAGATTGCGGCGGCGAGCTTCT